GACAGTTCCCGTCGCCACCAGCCTGCGTCTCTGCTTCACCACTATTACAGCTACTTAACGGGCATAGAGATAAGCCAGAAGGAAGAACAAGACAGAGGCGAAGAGACCGCGGTTTGAAGTTATTTCCAAGACGGGGGATTGCACCGTCTCAAACTACATCAATTTTTATTAAAAGCAATTACAAGCTGTAGAGCGGAGGCGGAGGCTGAGAGGATAGCGCATGAAAGAAGTGCAACAAAGACAAAGAGCAGCACTCACACAGACACACACACACACTTACGCAGAGACAGAGAGCGACTGGAGTCGGAGCGAGAGAGAGACAAAAGGAGAGAGTCCGCAGCGCCAAGTGCAAAATTTGAAGCACGACTTCATTTCGCCTGTTGTTGTTGCTGCTGCTGGTGTTTTTGCGAGTGAAGTCGTTGGCTGGGGTGGAGCGGAGGGGGGTTCAGAGCATAAAAGCACAACTTTATGAGAGGCAGCGACGCTGGCGTCGGCGCACACACAAATTGTATGTATACGCTGTTTTATGTAGACACACGCATACACACCAGGAGTACAAGAAATCCGGCCAGGCTACAGGTTCACACACACACGCACACATGGACAACTACTGGAAGAGAGAGAGAGCAACTTCTGTGACGGGAAACGGGATAGAAAGGAAAGGCAAATGCTAAATGTATCCCTTTTTCAGCTCATTGCGAGGGCAGGGCAGGGCAGGTCACACACATATTCCCATGAATATAAGTATACGTACACACGCACACAGGAACAGAGGCAGGCTTAGCACACAATCATGGCGGTTTTTCTTTCTCTTTCTCTCTCTCTCCCACTCGCTCTCTCTTGCAGGAGCTGGGAAAAAATCTGTACCGCAAAAATTGTACAATGATGAAAAAACCGAAATGCGAGACGAAAAACCCAAAAAGATTTAAAATATGGTCTCTGTTTTCCCGGAAAACTCTCTGTTAATTAGTTACCTCGTACTTGAGCCCGACCAAACGCAGCCAGGTCTCAACTTTCAAGCAGTAGGGCGACAGCGAGGGCAGCAATGGAGTCCTGGAGAACTGGTACAGATAGATGATGTCCTTCTCGAAGTTGGTCTTGTGCACATTGAACTTTTGTGCGGGAGGGGCCTCCGACTTGGCCGGCGCGGCGACGGCCGCTGCCTCCCCATCCTTCTTCGCGTCCCCATCGGCGGCACCATCAGCGTTTTCCTTCGACGCCGCCTTGCCGTCCTCTTTGTTTCCTTGGGCGTTTTCGTTTTCGGCCGCAGGAGCAGCAGCGGCGGGCGCGGCAGCAGCAGTCTCGCTGGCAGCAGGTTTTTCCGCCTGCTCAGAGGCTGGATTCTCTGTGGGCGCCGCAACGGCAGGCGTTTCCTCAGCGGGTATTTGGGCTACTTCGGTGGCCATTTCGTTTTCGCTTTTTCTTATTTTCGCTCGTTCAGCCAACAGATTTTTCACACTTTTCCTTGCTCAAATCGCACAGGAACACTTATACACACTGCGCGACACCACTATAAAGCGGGGCGGGGGATTGAAAAAATGCACCACAAGACACACGGTACGGTTAATAGTTAATACAGGATCTCTGTTTAGTCGGAATTTAAACCAGACGACCGCAACCCAACCGCGCAGTTCAAAAAGTTGAGTTTATTTGAAAACTTTATTTGAATTTAAATGTATAGTATTTGAACAGTGTGACTGTGGTGCAGTCGATCATATATACCTTCAGACCCTCGTAAATATACCGAAATATACCAATGCATTTTGAAAATATACTGTTAATATACCGTAGTCGTAATCGCCATTCCACGATATTGATGTTCTCCTTAATATTACCAGCTTGCAAAGACTATTAACACTGAAACAATAATTTACTCCGTTTGAAGAATCAATTTGACGTATTTTAAATATTCCCTTTATTGGATTGTATGATCTTAAATTTTACAAATTTGTATTTTAATGTTTCTTTCAAATCACCCCTTCTGGAAGCAAGGGAGCTTTGTGTTCAGCATGTAAATGTATGTAACATGTAGAGACACATGAATGTTAACTGAAAAGAGAATGGAAATTCTAGTTTTTCAGAAAGGGAAAAGGAACGGGATCATAGGTAAATATTATAATACGCTCGCAGGGGTTTTGGGGGCATTTCTTCTACCTACACAACATAATTTGGGGCTAAACTCCGACATATCCGCCCGATATTGGAGTATTGTTCAGCAAGAGAGAGGATACGTTAGCAAGATCCTCTCTTATCTCTCCTCATTTTCGCGTATCAATATGAGCACAGAAATCCCACAGAAATATACCAACTTACATACACTTACATATAAGGTAAATCCTAAAATAATTTTCTCTATTTTGATATTCCTTTTATTCCTACAAGCTAGTTGTGATTTTAATCTTTAAATTTTGTAATTTTAGTCGATTACTGTATTAATTATCTGAAATTAAACGTATATTAATTACTATTATTTTAAGCTGTACTGTAAATATTGCGGTTTCAACAAAAAAAGGTACAAGAAAATTTGTTTTACCTACTTAGCAGCCACACATTTGCTACATACCACTTACCTGTTCAATAAGTAAATGTAAACTATGAGCCATGTTAACTCATAACATAAAACGCTTTCCGTCTCTTTCACTGTTGGAAAAAGCGCGAGAGTTGAATAATTTTGAAAAATCACTAAATTGCATGACGATCCTTATGCAACACTCGTGCGCGAGATTTCACAACACTTGGCAGTAATTTTCACAAACAAAGATTTGTTTTATTTTATCAGAACGCAATTAAACGAAATTAACTAAACCTCTGGACCAATGGGAGCTGTTTTGGGCCTCTGTTCGGCCGCCCAGGTAAGTTTATTAGCCCCCAATTAGCCGCGTAACCAGCGTGAATGGCGAACAAATCGCAGCAGCAGACTGCTGCTGGCTACAAATCAATAAGCTGCGCCATATGTTTGAAAAATGAATTTCTCGGCAGACTTTTCTTATGTAGATTAACTGATTTGTTTTTGTGTGTTTACAGTGCGCCCTCTGCTGTGGCGGCACTGCGGCCAGCATGTGCTGCTCGGCCTGTCCCAGCTGCACCAATGCATCATCGTCGCGCTTCATGTACGCCTTCATCCTGTTGGTGGGCACCGTTCTGGGTGCCATTGCCCTGTCTCCCGGCCTTCAGGACACCCTGAAGAAGCTGCCCTTCTGCATCAACTCAACGTCTACGTACAGCTCCAAGGCCATTGACACCTTCTCGGGTGGCTCCCTGCAGGTGGACTGCGAGTACGCGCTGGGCTACATGGCCGTCTATCGGGTGTGCTTCGGGATGGCTTGCTTTTTCGCGCTAATGGCTTTGATTATGCTGGGGGTGAAGAGCTCCCGAGATCCTCGCTCGCACATCCAGAACAACTTTTGGCCGCTGAAATTTCTGATTTGCTTTGGAGCCGCCATCGGGGCCATCTTCATACCGGACGGCTCCTTCGGGCCGGCCATGATGTGGGTGGGCCTCATAGGCGGCCTGGCCTTCATACTCGTGCAGCTGGTCATCATTGTGGATTTCGCACACAGCCTGGCAGAGTCGTGGATCGGTGAGTCATTGAATCTGTGCGGATAGAGGGAGATTCCATAATGATTCATCTCATTACAGAGGGCGCCGAGAACAGTCGTGGCTACTACTATGCCCTGGCTGGGGTCACCCTTCTAGGCTATATCTTATCGCTGACGGGCATTACCCTGCTGTATATCTACTTTACGACTGTAAGCGGAACGCCTGCTGTTTCCTTATCTATTTCTGATTTGCGTCTTTCCTTTTTTTGCAGTCCACTGGCTGCGGCATCAACAAGTTCTTCATTTCGATAAATCTAATCTTCTGCCTGGCCATCAGCGTCATCTCCGTGCTGCCGGCTGTGCAGGAGCGTCTTCCCCACTCGGGCCTGCTGCAGAGCTCCCTCGTGACCCTCTACACCGTTTACTTGACTTGGTCCGCTGTGGCCAATAATCCGGAGAAGGCCTGCAATCCGGGCATGTTTGGCTTGATGGAGGGATTCGGGAATGGCACCACCACCACAACAATTGCACCGCCACCCAATCCCTCGCACAACTCCAAGGTGACCTTTGATACGACCAACATCATTGGCCTGGTTGTCTGGCTGCTGTGCATCCTCTACAATTGCATCAGTTCGGCCGTGGAGGTGTCCAAGATTACTCACGACAACAGCGAGAAGCGTGGTATGTTGCATCATGCTTACCCTTACCCCCTAGACCATGCCCTCCGCCCATGCATTCCACAGTTTCCATCACGCATTCTGAATTCATTTCGTTTCCTATTTTCATTTCCAACGCTGTAGATTTAATGCTAATTACGATTACTAACACCCTTTTCGCTTCGACACTCTCCAACACTTTTTCTTTTTTTTTCCGTTTATTTCCGACTAACCAACCAACCGACTAACGAATCAAACTTTTGGGTTACTGGAAACTGTGTGAACTTTGTTGTTGCTCCTCCTTTTGGCATTTCGATTAATGTAGTTTTAACAGAAGCTCTATCAGACACAGAGGCAGCCACCGGGGCCGACGGCAAGCCCAGCACCGACAACGAGGTCGAGGGCGTCACCTACTCCTGGTCCATGTTCCACATTGTCTTTGTCTGTGCGTCCCTCTACGTAATGATGACCCTTACCAATTGGTACAAGTGAGTAAACGACTAAACGAAACCATAAATATAACCACTCTAATGTGCAATCTGTTGGCAGACCCAACTCTGACATTGAACTCTTTAATGGCAACGAAGCTTCCATGTGGGTCAAAATCATCTCCAGCTGGCTGGGCGTCTTCATCTATGGCTGGAGCCTGGCTGCACCCATAATACTCTCCAATCGTGACTTTAGCTAAACATTTTTAGTATTATTATTATCTATAATTATTATACAAACAATATAAATATGTCTAGGAGTGGTGCTTAACGAGAAAAGTTCGAGAATGGCGGAGAGAGTGAACGATGGAGCTGAATCTTTGCATTATTTGGACTCTTAGTGTGCCGTTTTACTCAATTAAATTATTCTCATAACTTGCAACTTATCCATATAAACAATATACAAATAATAAAACATAAAAAAACTGTAGTCATAATCCTCAAACTGTTTGCCTCAGAATTGTCTCCGCTTTGGGCAGTGCCTCGCGCAGGCGTTCGATGGCCACTGGCTTGCCCAGGATCTCCATCATTTCGGCCACGCCAGGACCCTCCTTGAGGCCACTCAGAGCCGCTCGCAGTGTCTTCATCAGCAGCGGGAACTTGAGGCTCTCCCTTTGGGCAAAATCTTTCAGTTTTGCATTCAGTTCAGCCTTGTGGAAGTTGTCCAGAGTGTCGAGGTCTGCCAGCAGACCGCTGAGCTGCTCTGCCGACAAATCTTTCAGCTCAAAGTTGGCTGGTTTCACCCAGAGGAAACTCAGCTTGCTGCTGGTCAGATCCTGCAGGAGCGTCAGCCGCTGCGAGGACCAATTCAGGACATCCACAATGTGGGCCTCCGCCAGATCCAAATTTGAGCTGCAACGAAAATCGAGATTAGAATTGTCCGAAGAGACTGAGACTGCACCTACTGCTCGGGGTACGCTTGCTTGACCAGCTGCTGCACCCGTTGGACCAACTCGATGCGGGATTTTGGCTCTGCCAGACGTTGGCCAATCTCCAGGCGATTCAGATCGTCCAGCAGTTCGGGGCTCAAGCGACTTGGATGGGCGTTCACGCGTTCCATTTCAAACTGCTGGCATAGTTCCGGCAGGCTGAGGAGCTGCTGCCTCGCATGGGCCCTGTGCTGGAAGCCGCCACCCGCGGAGACCACATAGTTGACCAGGGACAAGGGGAAGTAGCCGCGCTCCCGAAAGTGCTGTATGCCAATGTCGCCCTGCCGCTTGCTCAGCTTCGTTCCATCAGCATTGACCAGCAGCGGCAAGTGGCCAAACCGTGGAGGCTGCCAGCCAAAGGCTCTAAGGAGGGAATCATCCATTAGCAAGGGAAAGCCGAAGGGTAGGGAAGGAATCTTCTCACTTGTAGAGCAGCAAATGCTTTGTGGTGGAGATCTGCCACTCGACGCCGCGCAGCACGTGCGTGATGCCCATCAGGTGATCGTCCACCACGTTGGCAAAGTGATAGGTGGGAAAGTGGTCGCTCTTCATGACCACGGGGTCGCCCTCGTTGTCGCTGACATTGTGCTGGACGCTGCCGTAGACGAGATCCTCGAGCGGCTCCTCGTGCTCCGTCAGCTTGAAGCGTATGCAGTGGGGCGCACCCTGAGCCAGCAGTCGCTCCACTTCCGCGGCCGACAGGTGCCGGCATTTGTTGTCGTAGCGCGGAACTTGGCGGGTTCGCAGCGCCTCCTTACGCAACAGATCCAAGCGGCGTTCCGTGCAGAAGCAGCGATACGCGGTGCCATTCTGCAGCAGCACATCGATGGCTTTACTGGAAACAAAGTGCAGTGTCAGGGTGATTCAATGGGTGACCCTCCACTCACCTGTAGATCTCAATTCTCTGGCTCTGAATGTAGGGTCCGTGGTGGCCTCCAAAGCCGGGTCCCTCGTCAATTTCTATGCCCGCCCAGAGCAGATCCTCTACCAGGCGGTCACTGGCTCCGGGCACCAGTCTCGTTTGATCCGTGTCCTCGATCCTGAGCAGGAATTTCCCGCCCAAATGCCGAGCATAAAGGAAATTGTAGAGGGCCGTGCGCAGGCCGCCCAAATGGAGCTGCCCCGTGGGGCTGGGCGCAAAGCGAACACGCACCTGACTGTGGGCATGGCGTTGTGTCAGCCAGAGGCACTGCCTCAGCAATGTGCGGGGGTTTACTTTCATCATTTCCTCAAAGAAAAACGCGAAAAGAAAATTCCACCTGCGTTTCGGTTTGTTTACGTCGAACAGCTGGGGTAACAGGCAGTGGAATTATCGATAAAATATACCGACATATACCCTTGCAGCAGTTTCAAAATATACTGTAAATATTCCGTGAATCTTAAATTATGTTATATTTGATATTGCCATCAAACTTAGACTCTCAGCCGTGGAAATACAATTTTCTACGATTGCACAATACATTCGCCACATGATTTTCAGCATTTTCTCAATTCGTGGACATCCTTCCCTCCAAGGGTACGAAATGTTGCTTATTCCATGAAAAATGTTGGGGAGCAGTGCTGCTTAGTATGCGCAGCATGTTGCTGGTCTTGTTAAGAATGAACTGCCAACTCGTTTGAAATGGTTAACATTGACTTTTGGGCGCTTTATTTAAAAAATGCAATTGCTTGAAATGGTAATTAATAAATTAAAAGCTGGTTTTTGTGTGAAACATTCGGCTTAGTTGTAAGTATTACACGTCTCAGGTAGTGTGGGGCGGGGCGACTCTACTTGATGGCACAGTTGGCCAGTTTGCTGGAGAGCTTCTCGCCCTCGGGCGTCAGCAGAAAGTTGTCCTTCCACACGGCCAATCCCTCGCTGTTTGTCTTCAGATCCACAGACAGCTTCTCCCACACCTTCTTCTTGGGGTTGAGCTGCTCGTCGGGGGTGCCGCTGTAGCCCTCGAAGGCCAGCCGACTGCCGGCAGCAGCCTTCTCAGGCACCACAATGGGCTCCACAATTGTGTGATCGGCGCTGGAAGAGATGGGGCAAATGGGTAAAAGGAGGAGCGAGGAGCGGAGCTGCTGGGGCTACTCACTTGGAGGTGCACAGCACCATGCCCTCGGAGAGAATGCCGCGCATCTTGGAAGGCTTCAGGTTGCACAGAACCGCCACCAGGCGCTGTTCCAGCTCCTGTTCGGGGACAAACTTGACCAATCCACTGATGATGGTTCTGGGCTGCGCCTCAGCCAGATCGATCTTCAGCACATAGAGCGTATCCGCATCCGGGTGTCGGGCCACCTCAATGACCTTGCCCACGCGTATGTCCAGACGATGAGGCGCATCCTCGTCGGCGCCCGCAGCCGGAGCGGCTCCAGCCTTGACCTTCGCAGGTGGCGGATAGGCAGCGGCGCTGAGTTTTCTGCGGAAAGAGCAAGGGGAAATGAATACCCTTAAGGGCAAGACAGGATCGAGGCTTGAACTCACTGCAACGCTGGCGTCTCGAAGATCTTGCGAATGGGTTCCAGCAGGCGATTTATGTACTTCTCCACGGTGGCCTTTAGGTCTCCGGGATGCAGCTTGTCCGCGGCATAGTACTGCTCCAGCTCCTCGTACTTGAGGAATGTGACGTTGCCGCCATGCTCCGCCTCGCGGCACACCTCGAAGCCCTCACCCTCCTTGAAGAGGGAGAAGAGCACGTGCTTGACGAACGAGAGCAGACCATTGTCCGCGATGTTTCCGGGCTCACAGAAGGCCTTCTTCAGCTTCTTCTTGACGTTGGCGGGCGAGTCCAAGAGATCGATTTTGGAGTCCTCCTCGGACGAGGACATCTTGCCGCCAGCAAGGCCAGGAACTGCAAGAGGAAGAGCTTTAATAAAGGAACTCCAAAACTGCCAAGGGATTGGGACTCACCCATGGGATTCATGAAGTGGATGCGCTTCTCGTAGCCCAGCTGTGGCAGATACTTCTCGGAGAAGGTGAAGATCTTGCGCTGATCCACGCCACCGAATTGTGCGTCCACCTTCAGGTACTCCTCGTCCAGCGCCTGCAGTCCCGGGTAGAGGAGACCCGAGAGCAGCGGATATTCCACCTGCTTGACCACCTCGGCGCCCGCTTTCTTGGCGTCATGCTGGGTGACCACCGAGGATAGCTTGTACACATCGAGAGTGTACTCCTTGGAGAGCTGGTAGTCGCTGCCCTTGACGAACTTCAGCTTCTCCAGCGGCACGCCGATGGAGCTGAGCATGGCCTTGATCACCTGCTCGTAGTACTGGGTGCGCAGCTCCAGCAGCGACCAGGGCGCCTTCATGTTGTCCAGGTAGGCGTGCAGATCCGCAAAGAGAATCGTCACCTCGCAGCCGGCCTTCAGGAAGTCGGCAATCTTCGACATGGGCACGAAGTAGGCGACATGTGGCTTGCCCGTCGTCGCTGTGCCCCAGTAGATCTTCAGGTCGCGCTCCTTCAGCACCTTGGTCAGCTTGTCCTCGCCGAGCGTCTCCTGCAGGTTGCGCGTGATCAGCGTCTTCTTCTCCTCGGGCGTGAGTTCGACCATTTTTTGTGAAATTCTTTGATTTTCGCCCGCAAATTCACGAAATTGTTGGGAGGAAAGAGGAAGAGAGCGCGCAATTGCATGCGTGGTTAACAGCTGATGGTGCTGCCAACTTGGCATGTATTTAGTATTTTTTGTGCTATTTCCACACTCCCTGCGGCTGGTCACACCAATTGCGAAATTGCGCCGCGCCGCGTGTTTTGTTTACAAAAAAAGATGCAATTGGTCCAACTTGTGAAATTCCTAGTTGATTATTAGTTAATTCGTTCGCGCTTAGTACAATTGGACAGCAACAGCATGCCCGTGGTGGAGGGCAGTGATTTAGCGCTGCTACAGCGCCGCCAGCAACAGGTGCGCAACATTTGCATCCTGGCGCACGTGGACCATGGGAAAACGACTTTGGCGGACTCCCTGGTGGCCAGCAATGGCATCATATCGCAGCGCATGGCGGGAAAACTGCGCTACCTGGACAACCGGCAGGACGAGCAGGAGCGCGGCATCACCATGAAGAGCAGCAGCATTTCGCTGCACTACAAAGAGCCTGGAAAGGGGCGGGAAAACGATTTCCTCGTCAATCTCATCGATTCGCCCGGCCATGTGGACTTCTCCAGCGAGGTGTCCACCGCAGTGCGCCTCTGCGACGGCGCCATTGTCGTGGTGGATGTGGTCGAGGGCGTGGGCGCCCAGACACGCGCCTGCCTCAAGCAGATCTACGAGGAGCAGCTGAAGCCGGTGCTGGTGCTCAACAAACTGGATCGCCTGATCCTGGAGAAGCAGATGGAGCCCCTGGATGCGTACTTCCACCTGACGCAGGTCCTAGAGCAAGTCAACGCTGTGCTGGGCAGCATCTTCGCCTCCGATGTGCTCGCCCGGGAGGACATCACGCAAAAGGACAACCAGGAGTCTGCGCTGGAGGAGGTGGACGACTCGGAGCTGTACTTCTCGCCCAGCTCCGGCAACGTGGTGTTCTCCTCGGCCTACGACGGCTGGGCCTTCTCCGTGCGCGACTTTGCGGCCATGTACGACAAACGCTTGGAGATGAAACGCGAGGAACTGGAGCAGGTGCTCTGGGGCGACTTTTACTACAATTCGAAGAAGAAGTGCGCCATGCCGGGGGCCCAGGAGAAGGCCAAGAAGCCCATGTTCGTGCAGTTCGTGCTGGAGAACATCTGGAGCATGTACGACATCATTGCCGTGCGCAAGGACAAGGACAAGCTGCCGGCCATTGCGGAGAAACTCGGCCTGAAGCTGGCCGCCCGCGATCTGCGCCTCACCGACCCCAAGCTGCAGATCAAGGCCGTGCTGGGCCAGTGGCTGCCCATCGACAGCAGCGTCCTGCACATGGTGGTACAGCACGTGCCGCCGCCCCACCACATCAGCGAGGAGCGGGCCCAGCGACTGCTCTACCCAGCGAATATCCAGTTAAGTTCGCTGCCCGCCGAGACGCTGAAGCTCAAGGAGAGCTTCACCACCTGCGATGCGGGCAGCGACAATGTCATCGCCTTTGTGTCCAAGATGACGCCCGTGCACGTCTCGCAGCTGCCACAGAATCGACCCAAGCGGATGACGGACCAGGAACTGCAGACGCGCCGGGATGAGGTGCGTCGCCGCATCGAGGAACGCAAGCAGCAGAGCGAGCAAACGGAGCTGGACAGGATTACCGCGGGTGTGGAGCAGCTCAGCAGCAGGGAGGAGAATATCCCCACAGAGCCGGAGCCAGAGCCAGAGCCAGAACGAAACGAATTCGTTTTCGTTGCCTTTGCCCGCGTCTTCAGTGGCACTTTGAGGCGCGGCATGGAGCTGTTCAATCTCTCGCCCAAGCACGATCCACGCCAGCCTTCGCACCGCATCGAGGGAGAGGCGCCCCACGCGTCGCGAGTGACCATCGGGGACCTGTACATGTTCATGGGCGGAGAGCTGCAGCTGCTGGACGAGGTGCCCGCTGGCAACATTGTGGGCATTGGTGGCCTGGAGGCGCACATCGTGAAGACGGCCACGCTGAGCAGCACCCTGGACTGCACCTCCTTCAGCGAGCTGAGCATCATGGCCACGCCCATACTGCGAGTGGCCATCGAGCCCGTGCAGCCGCAGGACATGCCCCAGCTGGTGAAAGGCCTGAAGCTGCTGAACCAAGCGGACGCCTGTGTCCAGGTGTCGGTGGCGCCCACCGGGGAGCACGTAATCACGACGCTCGGCGAGGTGCACGTGGAGAAGTGTGTCCACGACCTGGAGCAGAGCTATGCCAAGGTCAAGGTGAACGTGTCCAAGCCGATTGTGTCCTTCAGGGAGACCATTGTGCCCGCGGCCACCGTGGACATGGTCAACGAGGCGATTGTCAAGACGGCCGAGGACAAAGATGTCAGCAAGAAGATTGCCCTGCAACAGACGCTGAATAAACTGGGAACCCTGCGGGCAATAGCACTGCCTCTGCCCCCCGAGGCAGTGGAACTGCTGGAGAAGCACACGGAATTCTTCAAGGTGAGTGCTGGGAAAACCTTTTCTTCCTTTACTCAGGACTAAACTCTTGTTTGTCCAAGCAGGAGCTGTCTGCCACTCCGCGGAATCAATTGCTCTCCGAGAAGTACGCCACTCTGCTGGCTTCCATCAAGCTGAAACTGATTGCCGCTCTGCAGGATCTCCCACTGTTCGGGCTGAGTTCGCTCTCCCCCGAGGAGTTGGTCAGTCGCCTGTGGGCTCTGGGTCCCCGCAATTGTGGCACCAATCTGCTGCTCAACCTCACGGACTACGAGCAGCCCGACTTC